TGTCTATTGTTGTCTTCAGCCTCAGCTCAGCCAGGTTCAGTTCCTTCAAGATCTCCTCAGTTACAAAACAATTCTGAACCACTTCATCAAGATGACCAGATGAGTAATCTGTCCACAAGTCCTCCAAGATCATTAGAGATTCACACCTCACCGTTATCACCAAACTTCCTTTAGAGACACCAGTAATGATGAGCCTCATTTTTTCTGCATATTCCATAAACCTATTGAACTCTTCAATAGACTGTGGCTTTATGGCATTGAAATAATTTAAAATAATTGATAGAAAGATTTCCTCTTTATGAGTGTGGAGATCTTCTGTTTGTGGACAAGACGCACTTCCAGATGCAGCTGATGTAGCAGATACCCTTGGCAGTATAACCTCTTGGTATCTGACAGTCTCTGTTGCCAACATGCCAGTCTGCATATTCTGTTCTTTAGGTTTCAAGTAATTCACATCAACCTTAATATTCATTTCACCACCTGTTAAATTGTAACAGTCACATTTAATCCTAATATAACAAGGTTTTTTCCACCTCCTACCTAATTAACCACTGAAATGTGAGAACATTACAATGAGGCAACACCAATCAAACATAGAGCTTGTTATCAATGAATAGATACCAACAACATATTGATGAAATGAAAATGATTACCACATACAGTATATATATATATATATAGCTTCAATTTCTGTTTCTTTTGCATCTTTATCTCATTCCATAGTAGAATCAAAATTCTGATGGATCTAAAAGATTAGTTTCAAACATGGAAATATCTAAACAGACCTAGCCACGGTGATACATAGGCATGCCTAGCATGCAAGAGTCATTTTTCTGGCTGGGTGGGTTAAGATAGGACATTTTGTATAACTAATGTTTTCATTTTTGTAACAGGAAAAGAGCATAACTTTTAAACAAACAAAAATATTGCATTACTTCACCTTAAGAGAAAGAAAATAAAAACCTAATTTATCTGAATTCACACAGGTATTTTGTGATCTATTGTCTCTATTGTGCAAATACTTCTCAGCAAAAATTAAATGCATCCGCGCCACACTTACTGTTGTCTCCTTAACAGCCATAGTTGGGTCCCATCACACAGCACCCTCTATTCCCCGTTTGAAAGAGAGCATGTTGTGTGAAGACACCAAATAACAGTTGCAAAAGAGACCACTATCTCTGCTGTTCCTCTAACAGATAGAAAATGAAAATTATTCATCTACAGTTAGTTGTCCAAAAAATAGAATTCCACCTAATTTTATGACAAAAAGCAAACTGAAACTCTATTGTATTTCCAACAGACCCTCACCAAAAATATATCGTAATCTTGAATAAGTTAGGATACATTAAACAAGAGTAGAGGAAAATAATTCAAAGAGGGCTCCTTGATTGATTGTTGCCCATCCGGACTTTGCCCTGTACATGTGAAATACATGATAAAATGCAGGTTGTTTACAATGAATTGACATGCAATTGGGTTAAGTCCATGGTAGCAGTTGCATGAAAAGTTCACCATCAGTCCCATTTAGTTCTGTGTGAATTTTTTTTTTGTGGGTTGGAAAATGCATTTTGAATATGTGATAAAATGCAGGTTGCTTACAAGGAAATGACACATGATAGAGCAAAGTCTAAAGGGGCAAAGTGGAATTTGATTGGTGGAGTACAATTCAAGCACATGAAAAATTGCATAGTGTTCATGTCGTGCAATGATTGGGTATGTTCTGATTGGATTTTGAACATTATTTCCATGGTACTCGATGGAATGCGAGTTGTTTAGCATGTGGATCATGAGTAAAAGAAAGGAAAAAACATGTTTTAACTTAAAAATGATACAAAAAGTCAAACGTGATCCTACCATATCCTGATAAATCTCAACCTTAAGGCAAAGGCCAAAAACCATTACACTTAACAAATGAGCCCAAAATTTCTGATTAAGACCATTCTTTGTACACGGTCCCCTAATTCAATGACATAATTTACAAGAAAACAATACCCAAATGCTGTGAACGGTGTAAGATATCCTAATGCTGTAATATGATTGGTGCAAGATACATACTCTTATGTGGCAATCTGATTGGTGCAAGATAAATACCCTAATGCAGCAATCTGATTTGTGGCAGACATAAGACACTCAGTCTGTACACTAACATATCAAAAAGCGCTCAAAAAGACAGTGCACTTGAACACTTGTAGTCCAACCACAAGT